ATTTTAATTCAACTATTTATTTAAATGAGGAAAAACAGAAAAAAAGAAAATAAAAAAATATAATTCCTCTCCATTTCCTTCTCCTTCCCTCTCTTTTATTCTTCTTAACCTAAATATAAATTTAAATTTTTAGAGATAGAGTACCATCTATAAACACTGATATATATGTGTATGTCTGACTAAGACGTGAGACAAGTAAGAAATACACAAACATGATGGGTATACTTTTATTTATGGATTGTTGTTGGTTGTCTGAAGGGTCCATCCATAATTAAACTTTGATTATTTAGACGTTTGGATTTCAGATAAATATGAATGGATTTGCACAACAACAACCAAGAGCCTGTGTTGCACAGCACTCACAACAACAAGAGTATCATTAATTTATCGAAAATTATACACTAACATATTTAAAAATATTAAATAAAATTATAAGTATATAATAATATAATATTAAATAAATATATACATATAATATAATATTTTTTAAAAAATAAAAAAATCAATACTATAATAATTTTTATAATTATAATCTCATAACGCTAAGTAATTATAACATTTTTCACGTCATCTATAATAATCAAGGCATCAATTAAGATCAATAAAAAAAATGGTGGAGTGACAAGAATTTCAAATAAAGTAAAAGTCATCTTGTAGAAAGAAAGAAGAAAGATTCCATTGTTAATAAAAATCAAGAAACTTTCTTAAAGTTAGGATCTTGTCTCCTCAATATTGTACCAAGTATAATTTTCTTCTCTTTTCTTCAAACTTCTTCAATAATAATGTCTTAAAGATTAATTAACTTAAACTTAATTTTTTTGGTCCAAAGAAAATTAGTAGTTAGAATGAAAAGAATTTTCCATTTTAAAAGTATGCAATTAAAATCTACTGAGGAACTATATCAGTCACATATTGGAGAGTAGCAATATTCTGGCTCCTTTTATATAATAGTTTGTGAGGCTGAGGTTGAGACTAAGGCAGATGTATCATGTTATTCCAATGCTTTGGAGGATGGCTCATGATGACTGAGTCTACAAAAAGTAGTCCAATACAATTCAAGTTGGCCAATTTGTTTTTTTCCTGTAGCAATATCTTTCTAAAGAATCAAAATTTAAAAAACAAGCTTTAAATCATCTCCTTTTTGAAAGAGTGCATGTGGGTCAAGGGAATTGAGCACACCCAATTTTCTTCCATCATACTTGACCAATTCTAAAGGGGATGTACCAGGTTTGGGCTTTGAAGAAGATAATATTTTTATTAATGGAGTTCAAGTTTTTTTATGGTAGATTATATATTAAAAGTATAATTTATTTTGTAAATTTATTTAAATATTTTTAATAAAATAATATAAGAAATAATTTTATTTAAAATATTTAAATAAATTTATAAAGTTGATTGAATTTTTAATATATAATTTATCTTAAAAAATATTTTTTTATTTATTAATTATATATAATTTTCATATTAGTTATTGTCCAAATCACTAAATAAATTAGTATATAATTTTTTACCAACAAAAGGGACGAAATTTCATTGAATAGAGTGCGAGCAGTGTTTTATAAATAACATAATCCGAGTTTGGTTTGAAAATATTTGCCACTAATAAAAATAAGTATATATTCAAATCAAGTACACATCCAAGAATATGATTCGATTATTCTCTGATGGTATATTGCATCATGTACATATATTGTTCCTTTTTTAGTGAGGGTTAGAACTTACGAGGGTTTAGAAAGTTTGACAAGTTGCAATTGCATCGCATCTTTTGACAAAAAGTATGAATCCACTGTCCACATGTTGAAGCCAATGGGGTTTGAGAAGGTGCAAATAAAAGGTAGTACATATAGCAAAGCCAAAACATCACTTTCTCCTCATCTTCTTATTCAAACATTAAATTATTTTCTTTAAATTTTCTTACCCATTTCACTACCTTGAGTGTGCGTCTAGGAAATATCCTCCCTCAGTTCCTCCCCTCCATTTCCCCCCCCCCCCCCTAACAATTGGACTCTAGATTTGATAAAAGACTTATGGAGTAACAATTAGATCTTTTAGTGCTTACTACTTATAGCTATAATATGTTATAATTGTTTATTTTTAAAAGATATTTCAAAAAAGTGCATATCATTCCACCTCTTAAAAATCAAGAGTTTTTACATATTTAAAATAATATTGTTTTAGATTTATATGTGTATAATTTTTTAATACATGATTCTTAAAAATATGTAAATAAATATATTAGATTATCATAAATAAATAAATTAGATCGTACAATATAGTTCAAGTATAACAATTACAGATTCTTGATCTATAAAAATAAGGATTCCTAATGTTTTACCAACTCTATCCTACAACCAATGATAATCATCTTGTTGTTAGAAGTAGGGAAACATAAACACTTGCCGACATGACCAATCTTTTGGAATTATGAAAATATATGGAAAGCACAACTTGTCAAGTTGTGTGATAAAGTAATATGTACAATTAATGAGAAAATGACTTGAGATCAAGAAAGTGGAGAATCATTAAAAATGAAAATTTTAAAAAAAGAGTGGAGAAGTGCCCAGCCAATTAAATAGTGGAAAGGGTAACAAAAAGAGAACCTGCTTTGCCAAAAAAATCAAATCAAGAGATTTACCATTGTGGTTGCCTTTAGGGTCCACTTATTAAAAAAATCATTAGTACAAGAAAAAAAACAAAATTGGGAAAATATTAAAGAAAAGGGTAAGAAGAAATATATTCCAATTGTAAATCATTTGTTTTTTTGGGGGGTTAAATTAGCAGGACAGGATGTTCCTTGCTTGCTGGCCAAGAGGATCCTCCTTGGTGGAAAGTCAAAAACCATGTGCTAGGCCGGCTGGACTTTTGAAATGATAGGGAGAAACGTATTTGAGGGGTTATTAAATGAGAATTTTTTTATAATTTTTGTCCATAATTTTTTTACAAAATTTTATTTTATAATTTAAATTATATTAAATTATAAAATAAAAATTATTAGATAAAAAAATTTAATATTAAAGATCTAATTATTTATTTAATGATTAATATAGTATAATTTAATTTAATTTAATTTATATT